GGAATAGGTATTGCTTCCGGAGTGATCTAATACACTTCATGCTCACACTTACCATCAAGAACGTTGTGTTCATCATGTGCTTTGCCCCATTCCTTATCCTTAACTATCACTTCTCCATCATTTCGATGCATCTAAACACCATTTTTAGAAACCATTTTTTTCTTGCTTACTTAATAAGAAGCCATTTTATGAGACGCCAGAGTACTTGGAATCAATAAGCCGGTGCCCCGATATGATTCCTGACATTCTGACAGGCTAACAGATAATCGCCTTTCTTCTTGCTTATTTGTGACCGGAAAAAAGGCAACGCTATCTTTTTCGCGGCATCTTGACGCTCTCGTCATAAACGGCCGGCGATTCCTTTCCCATCACTTCAACTGCTCCGAATAACCGGCAATTAGGCAACGGATCGAGATCACCGACACGACTGTTGCCATGTGCAAACGATTCAGTCTCTGAGGATTTGAATCAAGACGGCGGAAACCCGCACAGCTGTTGCGGAATGGTTCCGTCATCCCGTCTCGAACTCGTTTCTCACTAGGTTAGACATGACACCTGGCGGGTACGTTTCGCCAGAGGATGTCAATTAACGAGTTTTATGAAAAAATAGGCGAAGAAAGAGAAAAAATTGAGTAAATATATAAATTCACTAACCCGATATCCCAACAACCGAAAGCCGAGGGTTTTTTGTGGAGGGTATTTGCTAGACTCCTTTTCTCGCTTTTCTTTGCTTGCGAATGGGTCATAAGTAATCTTCCCCATTTTGATGTCAAGAATAGCAGGTCGTTTGTAATGGACCGTTATATCTTCCAGAATCATAAACTCATGTTCTGAAATTTTTAGCATTCATGAAACTTGCACAAACTAGTACGAAGTTCAAAATAAACAGTGAGTAAGTACATATATCGATTGAAATCAAATTGATCTTGCCAAACTACAAGTAATGCTGCAGAATTTTAGTTATAAACATGTCACACATAAAAACATAATTTCGAATTTTTTGAAACTACTCCGAATCATTTTTGGCAAATTTCCAATATTGTTTATTGGAAGGCCTACTCCAAACTACTGTAGTATTACTAACAAAGCTCCCAGGAGTCCGCAAATATCTAAAAAGGCGGAAAAGAACAGTAAGAGAATTTTTAAACTACTAGGTTGTTAACTAAGTTTTGCAACTACTTTTATAACTTT